CCCCCCCCCGCCACCGCTCCACCCAACACCGAGCGTCCCCCAACACCGGCCGCCCTTCAACACCGACCACCTCCCCAACACTCTTCCCCTCCCCTAACAAAAGGATAAAACGTAATCAACAATTGCTCCTTCTTAGTTAATCAACAATTGCTCCACAGCTCGCCACCACGCACACCACAGCCCATCACCACCACCACCACAATCCCACAATGAGCAGCGTTAGACCGCTCACCGGGGGGCTGTGGACCACATACATCTTATCCCACCGTACTCACAGAATATCGCTTTGTAATCGTGCTGTATAATGTAGCACAATATCACCGCTCAGAGAAGATGGATGTCCAGGGCGAGAGCGGGGGAAGGGAAGGGGTGGAAACAGCGAGTGGAGGGGGTTGGGCAAGGGTAGGGAAATATGATGGAGCACGTCAAAGTTTGATGCAAAAACGCATGATCGCAACGGCTCGCCTGGTGCGTTCCAGCCTGGGTTAGTCTCCGCTATGCGTAGTTCTCACGCATAGGTCTGTCAAAACTTTTGGCGGCAAGATTGCTATGTCGGCAACATGAAGGGTAGAAAGTTGAAATTTTAATGGAATGTTGCCTGTCCAAGTATCACGCAGTTGCATTATTAACTTCCTAAAATTCTGAGACCCGTATGTCACAAATTCTAGCTACAGGATTTCAGACAACATTAAAGCAGCACGAAATAGTGTTAAAACGCATGATCGCACGCGTCCACCTGGTGCGCGTCGCCAATGATTTTGAATTACATTTGTTACTGTACCTGTGAAGTTACATTTCGATATGCAGCAAAAAGTTCACTTCGAATTTCTTTTTTTAAGACACAAAGTTGGTCAAAATAAGTTGCTTGCGTAAATTTTTTTGAAATTACATTTTTCATTGCACCTGAATTGACAGAATTGCAGTAAGCATTACATGCGAGTCATTTATAAACAAATGTAAGACGCAAGGGATGCAGTGCAACAGTGCGGAAAACAGGGCAACAAGGGACTCGTTGTGTCGTACCAGGACGCAACCACCCACGGGTGAGATTTCAAAGCTTTCATTTTCCACCTAGAAACTATCAAAAAATGACTTTCGCTCTTCCACTTCATGGAGTAAGTGACCATCAAAGCGCTGCCAACATATGAGTACATGCGAAACTATGAATCAACGAGAATTCTTGTTGCTAATGATCTGACTGTTTCAGAATCTGTGTAAAAACTTATGATTCTACCGAGAACCTTAGTGTGCGGAGCAACTGACTTTTTTTTTACTCTGTACCCAACAAGCACGGTCACACATCTCAGTGGGTAATCAAACTACTGCATACACTCATTGTGTACAACTGACAAACGTTCCAATTTCGTATGTGTTGTGAAAGGGGTTTCCTTTCGGAAACTGTTATTAACCGAGAGGGAATCAAACCCCTCCTCTTCACAAGCAGATGCAATCTGTTACCATTACACCACCAGTCACCGAGTTTCGGATTCAGTCTGGCAGCACATCTACTGCGTATCCGCCCATCATGGCAATTCGCTTTCTCTTTCTATCCTTTCTCCACACGTGCTGTGCTCGTGTTTCACCTCGCGCACTGCCCGTTAGCCAAATTAATACCGCACAAGCACAAATGTCTTCAAACAAGAACAGTAATCAACCTCCCATCGAAATGAGTTTCAGCGGGGCAACCAGAAAGATAGCATTCGACAGCTTCAGCCAGAATATACCTCCATTATTCCTATTCGGGAGCCAGATCAGATAGATAACTCAAAGTTCAGGAGGGTGCACCATGCCCACGTGCTACCGCGAAAATTTCGGATTCAGCTCAGACGTACACATTTGCTTTCCCTGCAGGTACGCGATGTTTAGCGAGGAAATTTCTGGCTCATGAACCAGAATTGTTAGGGATTTGAAACTGTAGAACGTTTCCTGTCCGTCAGCACATGTAAAATTAGCAGTGGTAATTTAAATTTCTATCTACTGGTGGAAAAGTACACTGTAAGCGCCAGGATTATTTCAGAACCGCCAACAACAACGACGACAACAACCACGACAACAACAACCACGACAACAACAACCACGACAACAACAACCACGACAACAACAACCACGACAACAACCGCAGCGCCAGCGACGAAACCAAGAGGTGATAGATAAGCTCAAACGCTCAAAAAAAAAGCGCTGCATAATGAGCCTAACAATGCGTGGTCCCCGATAGCTTAGAATTAGTTACTGCTCCACGTGGAAAAGGAGTTGTGCAATGCTGTATATCACTCTGATTCCCATTCTCAAGCAATTTTGGGCAATTAGCACAAACAATGGAGCATAATGCCGAGAGCAGGTTCTATGTGTTTGTATGCATTCTGCTACGCGCCAAGCGATAAATCCAAAATGGGGAAGGCTGGAAGGCTGATATTTTGACTGCTTAATTCGAGCCCTCCTCGCTCACTCAAACTGGTCAAAAACCGTTCAGACTAACAGCTAGAAAGAAACTCAAATTCACTTTACAGGACAGGAGCCAACAGACACACGTGTACCTGTTTCTCTTACCAGCGCGTGAGTGCTCAGCGAAAAAACTTCTGATTCCAGAACCAGGAAAGTTAGAAGGCTGAAATTTTAGGATATTTCCTACCCATGTGCAGTTCCGCAATTTTAAATTCAAGCATTGCATAGGCCTGGATTTTAATTGCGAACACGGGAAATTTTTGGCAGGAAATTTTGATAGCTCGGAATCGGGCAATATTTTCACTATTTTTGAATGCGCCATTAACAGCAAATGTCTGTTGGACAGAGCTGCGCGAAATGCATAATCACAACGGCTATTTTGGCGTGGGACGCTATTCATATTTTTACTTGCAGCTGTTTTTTTTTTCGGCAAATGTACTGGGCATTGTGGATTGTGCGCAGCAAACCGCGAAATGCATGATCACAACGGCTTGCTTAACTATCCAGATTTATCGTGCATGCAATAATCAAAATTTGTCCTTTCGATTTAGAGCTATAGTAGTTATTAGCTGCTTGTGCTGGACAGTGCTGTCACTCATTTTTCAGGAAAGCTGATCAGACGAAGCCCTTAGCAGCAGCAGCTGCTGCTGCTGTCGCCGTGATATGATTTTGCTCAGTTTAGCGACATCATTTCAGGCAAGTGTGTGGATATGAAACCTAGGTGCCTTGAGTATGCTCTGAAAAGATACTGCTTTCGTAATGAGACCAGTCCGAAAATGCTATACTACTGCTTTGCTTCTTGTGGTGTTGGCGAATGCTGCTACGACGAGGACAGGTACTGTGACCTGGCGACGTCATGCAGTAACAAAGAAAGTTGGATGAGATGTGTGAAGACTTGCTCGCGCTGTCACTGTAGAGATCGTGCTATTGACTGCAAACTTTACCAACATCAGTGTCGTGTCCCCAGATACCGTAAACAAATGGTGCATCGATGCAAACTCACGTGCCAATTCTGTTGAATTGTTACATCAAAAATAACGCAACGAAGCATCGGTGTGTGTTAAATGAATGTCTTCGCATCAAGAATTACAAACCAACAACAGTTCACATTTTAACAAATGCAAATTTTTATGCGTTTTTGCTGTGCGGCGCTATAGCGCTACAGCCAGCGAAAACGTCGAGAGGCTGTGTGTGTGTGTGTGTGTGTTCAGAAACGAATGCTTTTTGTTACTCATTTTCATCTCAGCAACCAGGAAAGCTAGGAGGCTAAACTATGGGTACATATTCCTGCCCTGTGTGTCATCCTTCCGTTTCAAAATATTCACCCACAGGCGCCTAGACCCTGCGTACCGGCTCCCCCAAAAAAATGTGCAAAGTTCGTTGGCGGGAAACGATTTCGCGAGTACAAAGCTGAAACTTTACAGAGATATTCTCTATGCATGTGCGACCTGAAGATTTTAAACTCAGCTGCCACAGAACGCTTGTGAAGCGCGCACGATCACGTCAGTGTTTGTGACTTGCTATTACGCTAACTCGAAAACTTGACGGAAAACAGTAGCTGAAATTTTGTCAGTGTGTCTGACTCCCATACAGGAAACCGTATACCAAAAATGAGTACCGAATTTACTTGCGCCACAATTTATGGTACTTCAAAGATTTTGTAGCGAAGTGCGTATTTTGCTTACCGGATAAGCTGCGAAGCTGAAAAATCCCTCAAATATTCTACTTTCACATGCGGTCTTAATTCTGCTTTGAGTTAGGATTCCCTGCAGATAGGCGTAAGAAATATTCAACTTTACCGAAAAATCAGAAACGAGTGCGTTTTGCAGCGAACGACCACCCTCACCCAAATACGTAAATGAATATTGGTTCATTTGCATACTTGGAATTTTAACAAATGACCGCTCGAGTAATACTTCCACTTTTTATTGAACTGGAAATTTGCATTTTTTCAAAAAATTCGCATATTTCATTTTTTCACGAAGCGAGCATTTACCGAAAAAACGACCGAGCTTCATGCAAAAAACCGGTAATCGTGCACCTGGATATCCGTGCGGCTCTATAATGCACCACCTTCATCCCAACTGACGCCCTTCTTCCTGCATGCCGGAAGGGGCCAAAGCACAACCATTATGAGCCCAAGTGTTAGGCTACAGCGAAGGGATCATACCTGCTAATAACGATCTGCGAGTTAGCGATAGTTTCCTCTTTCATCGTGTTGAATATCGGGCCCAACAGCAACTTCAAAAAGTTCCTCAGTTTTTGCATTCTAAAAACCTACAGAAATACGAATGTACAACAACACGTTTGAAATAAAACAGCACAGGTTTTTCTCACATAAATCCACGGTTTCCCCAGATCCTCCTTTCCAGATGAATTTGCTAGCAAAATGAAATAACGTATAGCCGCCGAATGGAAGTACAATGAATCGATTGTGCTATGTGGTACCAATCATGTCCCACACACTCACACGCAGCCGTCGTACACGCCAATTGCAGCTAGTGCGCACACCACACGCAGTCCCCATTCAAACCACGCGTAGCCCCCTGTATAAGCATGGCGCTCTGCACCGCGCACAGACGTCACACACCACCACACACCCCCTTCCGCACATACTGTGCGCAACCGTCCAGCGGTTGCGCGTAAGAAATAACTGAGATGTATTCCAAATCGACGTTGCAAACGCGGCGTGGCCCATTGGCTACGATCAGTCACGATAGCCGGCAAATTTGATTTCACGTCACCTGCTAATGGCGGCAAATTAGGCACAGGGAGGGGCG